TGAGCCATGGCTGTGCCACTGAACTCCAGTCTGGGTGACAGAACGAGACCCTGTCTCAAGAAATAAATAAAAACAAAAAGCAATAGTAATAACACAAAAATGTAAACATATAAAATTTTATCATCAAATAGCAATAGTGTGATCCAGATTCATTTAAATTTCCTTTTTAAATCAGAATACTAGGAACCAAAAATGAAAAGAGGCCTAGCTTAAAATCTGGTTTACTTTGTGCCAACAAAAGCTAAATTTGGCCGGGCACGGTGGTTCACACCTGTAATCCTGGTACTTTGGGAGGCTGAGGTGGGCGGATCACGAGGTCAGGATTTTGAGACCAGCCTGACCAACAAGGTGAAACCCTGTCTCTACTGAAAATACAAAAATTAGCCAGGTGTGGTGGTGGATGCCTGTAATCCCAGCTACTCAGGAGGCTGAGGCAGGAGAGTCGCTTGAATCTGGGAGGAGGAGGATGCAGTGAGCCGAGATCACACCACTGCACTCTAGCCTGGGAGACAGAGCAAGATGTCGTCTCAAAAACCAAGCTAAATTTGAGTTAATTCCTTTTCTGAAAAACATCTGTCACCTTGACCAATGCCACAGCTTTCCTCTTCCTGATTTGGTAACTTGTAACACTTAGTTTTCTAATTAGCCACTCCACAAATTATCCTAACCAATATGGAAATCAATTAATCAAAAATAATCTGACCCTGCACAAATTATTCTACTGACATGGAAAACACCAGAAAAATCTTCTACTTTTGTGACACCCAAATAATAAAACAACAACCCACAATAATATTAAAATTAGATTAAAATATTTATAAAAAGCATTTCACAGCCGAGCACGGTGGCTCAAGCCTGTAATCCCAGCACTTTGGGAGGCTGAGACGGGCGGATCACGAGGTCAGGAGATCGAGACTATCCTGGCTAACCCGGTGAAACCCCGTCTCTACTAAAAAAATACAAAAAACTAGCCGGGCGAGGTGGTAGGTGTCTGTAGTCCCAGCTACTCAGGAGGCTGAGGCAGGAGAACGGCATAAACCCAGGAGGCGGAGCTTGCAGTGAGCTGAGATCCGGCCACTGCACTCCAGCTTGGGCGACAGAGCGGGACTCCGTCTCAAAAAAAAAAAAAAAAAAAAAAAAAAAGCATTTCACAACCACAAAATACTCTGACTAGAGAGTAAACCTTGAAGAATGGCAGAAGCAGTAGTTACTATATAGATACTATGTGCTTGATCCTGCTCAAATTTTTGAACATAATTAGTTACATAAACTTCATGGTAACATAAGAAGTACAATGATGATCTCAAAGTCAGTTAACTATTTAATTTAGTCAAAGAAGCCTCAAAAAGGATAATACAATTTGCAATCATTCCTTATTTGAATCCCCAGGAAAGGATTCTAAGTTATAGTTAACACACAGTATATCTTGATTTAATATGAATAACATTGATCTTACTACTGGATTTGGAAATTTATGGACCAAAGTTACACTATTTCACCTAAAATAAGTCTAAAAGGAATTAATTTTTAATTCTGAAAAATGTCAAACCTATGTTAAAATTGAAGGAGTACAGAGAATATCAATATATTCCTCACCTAGATTCATCAACTGCTAACATCTAACCAAACCCACACTGCTTCTCCATCTTTATACCTTAATATGCACATTTTTCTTTTGTTTAGAGAGGCTAAAATCAATTTGGTTCTTTACTTTTAAATACTTCAAAACCACCTCCCCCAAACAAAAACACTCTCCCATATGATTAACCAGAAAATGAACAGTAATAACAACATCCAACAATTAGTCCATACTCAAAAGTTCCTTAGCAGTCCCTAAAATGTTCTTCACACCAACTTTTTCTTTAAGTTTTCTTTTTCTCCCCTGCAGGAAACAAACACGCCAACTTTTTAAAAGCCCAGGATTCGATTCCATATTACATTTGGATGTTATGTCTCTTCAGTGTTTGCCAGCCTAAAACAGTTCTGCTGCCTCTCTCCATTCTTTGTAATATTGAATCTTTTGAAGAGTGTGGATAACTGTCTTGCAAAACAACCCACCTTCTGGATATATATGCCCATTTCTTCAAAATTAGATTCTGCATATTCTGCAAGAACCCCACAAAAGTGATATTATGTTTTGCCCCCCACCCCAATAATCGCAACAGGAGACACATAATTGTTTATGGCAATGCTAAACTTGAGCACTTGACGAAGTTGGTAACCACCAGATGTCTGTGTTACAAGGGTACATTTTTCCCCCTTTGTAAACTGTGGGATGATACTTTAAGACCATCTTAATATCCTGTCCTAACACCTTTCACCCAATGACTTCAACATCTAATGATAATCCTTGCTATTATACTGAGATTAGAAAATGGCAATTTTCTTTATCAATTTTATTTACCACTCCTTCTACTTATTAGCAGATATCTTTATGTGAAAAAAGTAGATCTTTTCCTTTGTTTTTCAATGCGCCCTGGTTCCTTTTAGTGGGGAGTGGTATTTAGAAACTGAGTCTACATGTGTTCTTTGCTACTGGGTTTCCATTGTTTCTAGGTCCTTTCTATGAACAGAGCTAGGAGATAACCAGTTTTTAAAAAATGGGTCCATACTCATACCATCTATTTACATTCAGCATCACAGGGTTCTTTCTCACCCTTCCCATTCCATATTTATATCTCCCTTCTCCATGGTAAAAACACTATTTCCCAATATAAGTATTTTATTCATTTGCCCTATCCTATAATACATACAAAACAGTTTAAGAACTAACACCTGGCTGGGTGCAGTGGCTCACACCTGTAATCCCAGCACTTTTGGAGCCCAAGGTGGGCAGATCACTTGATGTCAGAAGTTTGAGACCAGCCTGGACAACAGGGGAAAACCCTGTCTCTACAAAAAATACAAAAAAAAAAAAAAAAAAAAGAAATCTAGCTGGGAGTGGTGGTGCACGCCTATAATCTCAGATACTTGTGAGGTTGAGGTGGGAGGATGGCTGGGGCCTGGGAGGCAGAGGTTGTAGTGAGTCAGGATCGTGCCACTACACTCCAGCCTGGGTGTGAGCCAGACGTTATCTCCAAAAAAAAAAAAAAAAAAAAAAACCCAAAACCAAAAACACCAATAATACAAATCAAAGTCAAGTTTTCTAAATAGTTCTATTTGTTGTTAGAATATATCCTACTAAGCGTGTAAAAGTCATCTGAATTATTTTTTCTTCTGTGTGATTATCAATTTAATATGTAATAGCATCTGTGGTTTCTCTGTTCATATTCATTCAGTTTTATCTATTTTTTTTTAGACGGAGTTTCGCTGTTGTGGCCCAGACTGGAGTGCAATGGCACGATCTCGGCTCATTGCAACCTCTGCCTCCTGGGTTTCAAGCGATTCTCCTACCTCAGCCTCCCAAGTAGCTGGGATTACAGGCATGCACCACCACGTCCAGCTAATTCTGTATTTTTAGTAGAGGTGGGGTTTCTCCATGTTGGCCAGGCTGGTCTCGAACTCCCTACTTCAGGTGATCTACCCGCCTTAGTCTCCCAAAGTGCTGGCATTACAGGCATGAGCCACTGCGCCCAGCTCATTCAGTTTTAGTTTGCTTTTTTTGCTGTTCTTTTTTATTTTGTGAATAAGTAAAACATTTAAATGCTTAAGTCACACCTGTATAAAAAGTATATTCATTGGAAGGAATTTAATAATTTTAACAAAACTTGTTAGCATATTAATGAGTGTCAAGATACACCTGAAACTAAATTTGTGGTGCAGTGAAACAGTAAACTGATAATATAATTATTTCAAAGAAATTTGAAAAGATTAGGGGCAAAAGCTTGAGATTTAAAGTTGTTTTTTTTTTTTAAAGCTGTTCTTTACCGTGGGAATAAAGGTGTACTTAAACACTAAAATGCAGAGCTATAAAAACAAAACAACACTGAGCTAATCTGATTACATCCAGCTTTTGCACTCAATAGCCCTTGACCCTCCAGCCAAAAGTAAGCCTGTCATTCGCTCAGCCCTGCTATACATTCTCATTAGTTTTGTTTCAAACCCAGTGTTACAGAAACAAAACACCAAGCCTTCAATCATGCTATGTGTATCTTTATGTGTGCATGTCTTATGTATGTTTAAAATAAACATTTTAGGCCAGGCTTGGTGGCACATGCCTGTAATCCCAGCACTTTGGGAGGCTGAAGTGGGTGGATCACTTAAGGTCAGGAGTTCGAGACCAGCTTGGCCAACATGGTGAAACCCCATCTCTACTAAAAATACAAAAAAATTAGCCGGGAGTGGTGGTGCACACTGGTAATCCCAGCTACTCAGGAGGCTGAGGCAGGACCACTGCTTAAACCTGGGAGATAGAGGTTGCAGTGAGTGGAGATCATGCCACTGTACTCCAGCCTGGGCAACAGAGTGAGATTCTGCCTTAAAAAAAAAAAAAAAAAAAAAAAAATTGATTAATTAAAATCCAGGCCAGGCACAGGGGCTCACCTGAGGTCAGGAGTTCAAGACCAGCCTGGTCAACATGGTGAAACCCCACCTCTACTGAAAATACAAAAATTAGCTAGGTGTGGTGATACATATCTGTAATTCCAGCTATTTGTGAGGCTAAGGCACGAGAATTGCGTAAACCCAGGAGGCGGAGGTTATAGTGAGCCAAGATAGTGCCACTGGACTTCAGCCTGAGTGACAGAGTGAGACTCTGTCTTAAAACAAAACAAAACAAAAAAAAATCCAATTACCAATAAGATTTGGTAGATACTGGATATACCTAGGTGTAAGAAAAATGTTACCTCGTGAAAACTGACTTTTAAAAACCCACTAATATCATTAAGAATATTAAATAAAGGCTTTAAGATATCATCAAAATATGTTCTGAATGCCATAAAACAAAGTTACAAAAGTAAACATCAAACAACATTTCTAAAAGTTTGTGTTGAGTTTCTATAAACTCAAAGAAAGGAAGAATACAAAAACAAACAAAAAAATAAAAGAAAAAGAAAACATACCAACACCAACAGCACCAAACTGCTGCCCAACTAAGGAACTTGGACTGAACTGACTGTATGTGGGCATCCTGCCGAAAGGCCCGTAAGAACCCATGGACTGGAATGAAGAAGTCGATGAGCCTAGTGAGGACTGAAGGAAAATCATGAGTTATCTTTCCAAGCTCTAAGCAACATGTATATAATGAAAAAAAATTCCAGATTTTTACACTTTTAAGAAAACTATTAAATTATAACTACTAAATATAAAACGAATTACAATATGCACTTAACATTAAAATAGCCAAACGACCTTCTGATTTCAATATCTGTCTATAATGTGCCAATTATACTCAATGTAACTTACGAATACTTTTTCTACACTAAACTCCCCATTTAAGAGTTTTATAGATTGAGGAAAGAAAGTTACTTAAGTAAAGTAACTTTGCTTAAAGAAAAATATGAGAAAAATCACACTTAGTAATAATGGGTTTTAGTCTGATGCTGATATAAATCTCACATGTGATTTCACTCTTATTTTCAATCATTTGAGGCTTACTATTAAATTCACACGAAAGAGATGCAGAAACAAACATATCCCACATAAAGCCATTTACATGTTTACTTATAGTTATATTAAGCGGAGGAACATTTTACAAAAACTTTAACTTAAACCTAAAGCATATAAAATATATAACATATACTAATACATGTACTTCATATATTATCTTATTATAAACTGTTTCATAATATAAACATGAAGTGTATTAAAGGCTACCAGGACATACATTCACTGGTGGCAGGACCTTTTCTTTGTGTTCACTACTAGTGTTAAGCACATGCCAGACACTCTGTAAATACTACGGAATGAATGAATAAGAAGATCAAGTAGAAGTTTGTGATGACTGGAAGAAGTTACTCAACACCATTTTCATATGCACTCTCTTAGTTTTTCTCCTATAAAACTGATTACTCAAATAACTGGTTTCCTGGAGAATTATCGAAAGCCATATAAAAGAGACAGTAAGGTAACACCAGTGTTTGGTGTAGGGAGCTATCTCTATTAAGAAAGTGTCTCTTCCTTCTCCATTTAAAGAGATTTACATTTTCGGCCAGGCACGGTGGCTCACGCCTATAATCCCAGCACTTTGGGAGGTTGAGGCGGGTGGATCACGAGGTCAGGAGATCGAAACCATCCTGGCTAACACGGTGAAACCCCATCTCTACTAAAAATACAAAAAATTAGCCGGGCATGGTGGCAGGCGACTGTAGTCCCAGCTACTTGGGAGGCTGAGGCAGGAGAATGGCATGAACCCGGGAGGCAGAGCTTGCAGTGAGCTGAGATCGCGCCACTGCACTGCAACCTGGGCAACAGAGCAAAACTCTATCTCAAAAAAAAGTAAATAAATAAAATAAAGAGATTTACATTTTCTCCGATTCTTTCAGGTTTCCTTTCACCAAAATAAGACTTAACAAGGGTAGGGGTAGATGATTAAAAAGTTTAAATTGGGAGATTTAAGAGTTGACCTGAATATGTTAAAATACATTTATGTTTGTGTTTTCTTATTATATAACATTGCGGGCCAGGCACAGTGGCTCATGCCTGTAATCCCAGCACTTTGGGAGGCTGAGGTGGGCGGATCACCTGAGGTCAGGAGTTTGAGACCAGGCTGGCCAACATGGTGAAACCTCATCTCTACTAAAAATACAAGAATTAGCTGGGCGTGGTGGTGCGTGCCTGTAGTCCCAGCTACTCAGGAGGCTGAGGCAGAAGAATCGCTTGAACCAGGGAGGTGGAGGTTGCAGTAAGCCGAGTTCGTGCCACTGTACTCCAACGACTGTTTCAAAAAAAAAAAGAAGGAAAAAAAACCCCCCAACATTGCATATCGTAACATATGCAGAACAATGTGATTTTGCTTTTTGTTCCCCATTAAGCCTAATAATCTTATCTAAGAGTAGCTGTTATTGCCCTGGTTTGCAATATAAACCATATCTCAATAGCATGGTAGCACGGATTCTAGATTCTAAAGCAGGCTGCCTGGATCTGTTCAAATAGTGGCTCTACCTGAATTTCCTCACTTGTTAAAAGTGAGAATAATTATGGTACCAACCTCAGAGGGTGTCTTATATGTACACCACTTCCACAGCGTAGCCTTCAAGGTTAGCTACTGCAATTGTTGTTGACATTAGAAAATATTTCATAACAAATTCTTCAGCTGTTTCTTATCTTAGTTCTAATTTATGATTAGAGAAAAACCTAGATGAGAACATTATCCAGTAATTTCAGGTATCCAGGTAACTTGAAAATGATAAGCTACATGAACATTCAACTGGAGAGAAAAAAGCCAAGGCTATCCCTATGTGGAGTTTACCTGTACTCCAAGACAAATTTACCATCAGTTACCTGAACGATAGCTGGGTCTTGAGGCAAAGAACACTGTGGTTTTGGTGGCTCACAAACAGTAAGGTCTTTAATGTCACTCCCACGGAATATAATGTATTCAAAGACTTCATCTCGAGGTGGTATTGGACGATCTGTCGGTCTGTCTTCTGTACCAAAGGATCGAACTGGCAAGAAAACAAAGGATATGAGATGTGTGACTACTCATTACATTCAGGTAGTACCCCAGATTCTAAGTGTTGTATATCAAGTACTAAGCAGTAGTTCTGAAATGTCTGAGAAAGTATTCATTAATCTATAGCTAAATAATTTTTTTAAAAGAGGAAAATAGAGTGGGTTTTGCCTGAAGTTAAATATACGCAATATAAAAGACTATCAGTATTACGAGGTTGTGCTCCTCTTATATTTTTATTTATTTGTATCTTTAGTGGTTGTAGTGAGGTGTTAAAATGTCCTTTCATTATTTATTTATTGATGAGCCTGGGTCTCTGTATCCCAGGCTGGAGTGCAGTGGTGTGGTCATGGCTTCCTGCAGCCTCCGTTTCCCGGGCTCAGGCAATCCTTCCATCTCAACATCCCATGTAGCTGGGACCACAGGTATGTGCCACTAAGCCCAGCTAATTTTTTTTATTTTTTAGTAGAGATGAGGTTTTGCTATTTTGCACAGGCTGGTCTTGAACTCCTGGCCTCAAGAGATCTTCCTGCTTCAGTCTCTCAAAGTGCTGGGATTACAGGCCTGTGCCATTGTGCCTGGCTCACTGTTAATTTATTTTTAATGTTCTCATTCAGCAAAATAAAAATTAGCAACCTATGTCTTTCTTGGGGAGGGATGGGGAGACAAAGATTTTTCCAGTCTACAAAATCTCAAAGTTTGGGTACTGATCTTTGGGACACAGAGAGCAATGAAGGTATTAATATTTACCTTGCTGAGCAGTAAGTCCTCTAGAAGCCAAGCCAAGTAGCTGCCAGCTATTCAGGCCCATGGGACAGCCTGAAATACCCTAGTTACCTAAAATATCTACCATATAATTAAATCTGATTATTTTAACAGTGAAGATAGCATTACTCAAAGTTAAACCAGGGACCACCTGCAACACAGTAAGCTGGCTACAAATAAAGATTTCTACTGAATCTTTTTGCTGGGGACAGGGTCCAAAAATCTGCATTTTAAGCCAATTTCTGGCTAGGCACAGTGGCTCACGCCTGTAATCCCAGCACTCTGGGAGGTCAAGGTGGGAGGACTGCTTGAGCCCAGGAGTTCAAGACCAGCCCTAGCAACATAGTGATGTCCTGTCTCTACAAAAAATAAAAAACCAAATTAAAAAAATTAGCCAGGTGTGGTAGTGTACGCCTGTAGTCCCAGCTATAAGGAGGCTGAGGTATGAGGGGATCTCTTGAGTCTGGGAGATTGAGGCTGCACTGAACCGTGGCTGTGCTCCTGCACTCCAGCCTAGGTGACAGAACAAGACCCTATTTCAAAATAAATAAATAAAATAACCAAATCCCAAGTTTCTTATAAATACAAAAGTTTCAGGTTCATTGTCCTGGGAGATTTCTGAAAATGTCTGCATCCATAGAGAAGTTCCAAATAGAGAATATGAAACATCATATACTATTCATTTAAAGAGTATCCTAAAGGAAGTAAACCCCTTAACATTTTTTTTTTTTTTTTTGAGATGGAGTCTCACTCTATTGCCCAGGCTGGAGTGCAGTGGCGCAATCTCGGCTCACTGTAACCTCCGCCTCTTGGGTTCAAGCGACTCTCCTGCCTTAGCCTCCTGAGTAGCTGGGATTATAGGTGTGTGCCACCACACCCAGCTAATTTTTGTATTTTTTTCTTTAGCAGAGATGGGGTTTCACTATGTTGGTCAGACTGGTCTAGAACTCCTGACCTCAAGTGATCCACTGCACCTGGTCCCCTTAACGTTTTTAATGCATGTGCTTTTTTTTTTTTTTTTGGCAGAACTGATGCAGCGCTAGATTAAGGATGAATGTCAGGCTGGATGCAGTGGCTCATGCCTGTAATTCCAGCACTTTGGGAGGCCGAGGTGGGCAGATCACTTGAGGTCAGGAGTTTGACACCAGCCTCAACAAAATGGTGAAACCCTGTCTCTACTAAAAAATACAAAAAATAATTAGCTGGGCATGTTGGTGTGCACCTGTAGTCCTAGCTGCTCAGGAGGCTGAGGTGAGAGGATTGGCAGAACTCAAGAGGCAGAAGTTGCAGTGAGCTGAGCCGAGATGGTGCCCCTGCACTCCAGCCTGGGTGACAGAGCAACAATCTGACTTAAAATAAATAATTAAAAAAGAATATTATTTCAGTGTAAATAATGTCCTACACTCTTATTCTAAAAGTTCTTTCTAGTACTTATGAGACTTTCAGGAAAGATAGTGGCACAGGTAGTTTGGCAGAAGATCCTTCCCTAAAACTAAAGGAAAAAAACAAAAAGGAAGTTAAAATATCCCTAAAATCACGAAAAGTTCTCAAACTCATACCATGGAATTTTATTAAATAGTACAATTAAGGTACAGAATGAGTTAGCTGAAACTGAAAGACCAAGCCCAGAATCCACATGTAAGTATCCCTTGCCCTCTCCTCCCCTGAGAGAAATTTTGACTAGCATCTTCAACTTGCTAAGATGGGGACAGGGACACAGGTGTGATGAGGAAAAAAATGCGGAACGCCCTACCTGAAACTCCCCTTCTCTGGTGGCCAAACAGTACTTTAGCAGGCAGGAGGATTTTATATTTTTACCTTTATCCAAAAGGAAGGGTAAGGAGGAGAAAGAACTAATTACAAATAAATCAATCTCACCCCTAACCTCAGTACCATCACAGCGAATAAAGTCTCACGCTTCCAAAGTAGCGGATGAGATCACCCTGAAGCAGAGGGGGCAAGAGTCAAAGGCCCTTCTTCTACAAAACTAGAGAAGCTCTATTAAGCTTCCTAAGGCCTAATAGAGCTTAGCCAGGTGAATTCAGAGCGAAGTAAAAGAGAATCTGCATTTCACGTTTTCACAAGCAGCAGATACTGAAAGGACCTACTAAGGAAAAAAAGAGTTCAGGGAATCAAGACAAATTTTACAGGAAAGATGGAAAGAAGGGAAGAAAAGAGGGAAAGGAGGGAGGCAATGATGGAAGGAAAGAAAAAGGTATATCAAAATAAAGAAAAAAAGGCAGGAAAGGAGGGAAGAATCAAAGAGGACACGGTCTTCATTTGCTTATTCTGTTTTTTTCCACTACCAGCAGTTTGCCCTGACAGAGAGGACACAGTCTTCAAAAGGTGGATGAAATACATTCAGTATTAGTATTTATCACAGAAAATAGAAGAAATTTTCTGAAAGGACTGCTTCGACATTCACAAGAAAAACAGCATAGACTCTTATGATCAAAACAACATTGAAAGGGTAGCATGCAGAATTAAGGAAAAAATTATACAAGATAAATAAAACAGCATAACTAATAAATGCATCAACAGTCAATGCAGTTAAAACCAAATCACTAGAAGACAATAATTTTGAGAAAATGTAAACGAGATGTCATGAAAAAGTAGTACAGCAATAAAAAGGTTAGAGAAAAGATGATAGTTATGAAGATCCAACAGTTAACTACTGCCCCTGAGACAGACAAAAGAATAAGAGAAAATAAAATTAAAGTTATAACAGAATAGAAATGTCTTGACATGAAGGTCTAAATTTCATTAAAAGTTTTCACTGTATTTCCAGGAAAAAAAAAAAAAAAAAAATCAGACCACTACAAGCCACAGAGACTTATGTTATGGTATATCAAAATAAAGAATGCAAAAAAAGTGGCATCCAAAGATAAGAAATGGACAATAAATTCATTTAAACAAAGATGTGTACATGACAATTTACTATGGTTCTAGAATAGAAATAGTTCTGGAAAAGACTAGAAAGTTACAAAGTGTAACAAACTAAGAACAGTATATCACAACATTTTAACAAAAATTGGGAGATTAAAATGAATGGAGAAAAAGGAAAACTGAACAGACAGTAGTAGTATCTAAACTTACACTTTCATCTCTCATCATGTCAAGTAGGAGTCACTTGACACTTTTTTTTTTTTTTTTTTTTGGTTAGTTGATACTATGCGAAGGCTTTAAAATTTTTTATTTGAAAGAATTTGTTAAATTCTACTATGGGTCTTGGAAATAACCCATAGTAGAATTTAAAACTAAGAGCATACTTTCCAAAATATGGTGTGAAGAAAAACTCTATCATATGGCAAATGAAGCAAACTGAAAAAGCATGAAAACAGAAATCACAGAATAAGAATGATTTGCACACACCAAGAGTTTGAGAAACATGCTCTAATGATGAAGGCTGGCTTAATAAGATTTGGGGTTTTCAATGCAATCGAGTTTTTGTAGTATTGTGAAGAACAAATTCCACAAGACAGATTAGACGGGCACATATGGCTAGAAGATACTGTTACAGAACAAATGAGAAGTCTGGAAGGTTAAAACTTGAGCATTAAGAGTAGAGAGGAAGGAGGCATGACAAGCATAGAAAAGGTAAAGAACTACTGGAACTATTCTACTACAACACATACATTAGCTCATATGCAATCAGTAAATAAGGGAATTATGTCAGTACATTCAGAAATCACATTGGTTCATTTCCAGTTTTTCCTAAAGTGTTATTTAGTTTTTGCATTTGCAGGTATCAACAGTTAAATGCACCTAGCCATGAGTAGTGCCATCACTTCTGGTTACCTTTACTGTTTTTAAAGGGAAAGTTATAAATTTACCGAATTATTTGTTTAAAAATTTTAACTTATCTTTAAGCACACTAGTATTTTTTATTAGGTTTACATTAGTGCTTAAATTACAAAGATGCACAGATTTCAAATGGTCTGCTCCTAATCCTAGTTTTCCCATAAACCCCATTCCTCTTAGTGCAGGAAGGCATACCTCAGATTACAGCACAAATGCCTTTGCCTGGCTGGCAAAATCTGAATTATGTTCTAATTATTATTATTTTTTTCATTCATAACACGTAGTACTTTCAGAAAGAACATTTTTACTCTATTATTCATTTTGGGATTCTACAGCAACTACACATTCCAATGTAAATACCCATAGGTAATGTGACTAGAGCTTTAAGCTGAACATAGGTACTGTATGTCATTGCATTTCATCCCGTTT